CTCTCTCTCTCTCTCTCTGTCTGTCTCTCTCTCTCTCTCTCCTCCCCCCTCACTCCCCCCCTCACTCCCCGCCCTCACTCCCCGCCCCGCCCCGGTGAGCACAGCACCGCCTGTGGGCCATCCCCGGTTACTGCACCGCTCCGCTCCGCACTGCTCTACACTGTAATGCACTGCACTGGTGTTCACTGTAATGCACTACTGATCCACACTGTAATGCACTGTAATGCATTGCACTGCTCTACACTGTAATACGCTGTACTGCATTACACTGCACTGCTCTACACTGTAATACACTGTATGTACTGCATTACACTGCACTGCTCTACACTGTAATACACTGTATGTACTGCATTACACTGCACTGCTCTACACTGTAATACACTGTACTGCATTACACTGCACTGCTCTACACTGTAATACACTGTACTGCATTACACTGCACTGCTCTGCACTGTAATACACTGTACTGCATTACACTGCGCTGCTCTACACTGTACTGCATGGTACTGCTCTACACTGTGCTACGCTGGCGCCTACACCACCTCCTGCATCACACGGCACCCGCTCAGACCAGTCGCTGGGGTCAGGGAATCATCCCACTCAGCTCCTGTCAACCCTGCAAACCAATGCTCCAATGGCTGGATGGTCCTGGATGGACAAGCAGCGGGAAAGCCGGCCAGACAGCGACGGCAATGGCAAGCTCTGTGGGTTTTGCTGGTTAGACTCCAGCAGTTACCCCAACGCACCCTCTGGGCTTCCCCCCTCCCTCCCCCCACCAAAGCCTTGGCTCTTGCCAACCTGTGCCTAATACTCTCTGGAATTAAGTAAGCAGGAATGAGTGCCTCCAGGGAAAGAGACAGAGAGAGAGAGAGAGAGAGAAAGAGAGAGAGAAAATGCACATCTCATTCCAACAATCTATCTCTGGGAATTCTGACCCCCATGTCGAAGTGGGATGCATGGAATTCTCAGTTCGGTTTGGATACCCTTAAGCAACGGTGATGGGTCTTTGCATGTGTCAGACACCCGGCTGACAATAACGATTACAACACAACCTGTAGCAGTCATGAACATGCAGAGGGAGCCTCGATTAGTGTTTCATCTGAAGGACGGCACATCTCACGCTGCAGCACCAATCCCAACACTGCACTGGAGTGTGAACCCAGACTACGATTTGCATCCGATGAGATGTTAAAGTGAGGTCCGTATACCTGTTCACGCGGGCACGAAAGATCCCAATGAAACTATTGGAAGAGAAGGGAGATTCTCCCGTTGTCCTAGTCAATAATCCTCCAGATAGAATTAGTCACTCACTTCATGGCTGTTTGTGGAAGATTGCTGTGTGCAAATTGGCTGCTGTGTTCACCCACAAAAACATAGTCCTTACACTTTACAGTACATCCTGTGAAAGCGCATCGGGAAGTCCTCCTGACGTTACAGGGCTCATGTTTATTATTATGACTGATCACACTCTACTCTCACAATAACAATGAGGTTTAAAGACACAGTGAAGAAGATAAACATAGGTTTCTTTCTGCAGGTGATCTTGTGTCTGGATTAGAAAGGCTTCTGGGAGAGGTAGCAGGGGTAGGAGAGCAAAGAGATGTAGGGATTCAGGTTCAAGTCAATAAAAGGACCGCAGGTGGACAAGGCCATAAAGAAAGCAAATATAGTATTGGCTTTAGATCCAGAAGAATCTAATACAAAGGCAAGAAATGAATGTTAAATTTACTGCATTCAGTAGAAGGATAAGAAGGATATTGTGGCAGTGAGTCTACATTTACTCGAATGTTACCAGAGATGTGAGCTTACATCTTTTAGGAAAGACTGGACAGGTTAGAGCTTTTGTTCCTGTTAGTCTGACATTTATTCGGAACTGGATGAAGCCATTTACAATTTTGGAGGGGTTTGACAAAGAGAAACACAAACAGAGACTGTTTTCCAATTTTTGGCCGGTCCATAGTAAACGGGTATAAATAAATGTAAGATAGCCAGTAAAAGATCTGAAAGAGCGTTTAGGAGGGGGCTGGTGAGAATGTTACACTCGCTGCCAGAAGGCTCTGGTCAAAGCAGAAATTATAATGCACGCAACAATTACCTACATTTGGAAAGATCGCTTCACTGATGGTGACGTTTCAGAACGCTTTACAGGGAAAGAGTTGGACACGGAAGGAACTCGATACATACAAGAGGGAGAAGTGAGCGGAGGGGTGGGGTGGGGGGGTCTACAGTATGAACACCAGCACAGACAAGTGGTACTAAGTGACTTGCTTCAGAGCTATGGCTTAGCCCGAAACTATGAGCAAGAGTTCGGCTTACATATTATATACTGAAAATGCTCTCCCGATCGTAACATCGGAAAATAATTCACAGCGTACACAAAAAAGGTAGACGTGACTGAGTACGGTAATGACTGCATTGCCGCGCTTGCGAGATTGAAACAAAAAGGGTCGCAATCCTTCCTCTTCAGACCAGGCAATACTCTGTTTTAGGTGCTGAGGAATCTTTCATTCCGTTGAAACATCATACAACTTGCAGAAGATAAAATGTTGAACAAAAATGTACGCCGAAGCTCCACTGCGCCTCATTTCGGATGCAAGTAAAGACAAAGCAGTATATTCCATCATACTCTGCTTACATTACACCTTTGATGGGCATGTGCGAGGACAATCCGGCCCCTCGATTCTACCCGGTCTCTTTTGAACCAATTTCAATGCAATTATGTTGTAATCTGTGCCATACTTAAATGCATTTATTGAGCTACCGTGACAACTGTTAAAATGAAAGTGCTTTCTAAAATGGCATTCCAGCTCTGTTATGCTATCGGCAGCGCATACCATCAACTTACCAACACGGAAAATCAATATCACAATTCTTTTCGCAACCCCTGAGCTCATGGATGTGGGACGTGGGACAGTATATCTGTGGACCAGTTCAGATTGCACAAAACCAACTGGTCAGTGATTTACCTTCAGTCTGTCACGCAGAGAGAATCAGTGCTTTGTATTAGCTTTAATTATCTCTTATTGACACCCACCCTCCACCTAAATTATGAGTCAATGTACAGGGAGAGTGAAAAACAAGGAGTAAACCAAATGAAAGGAGTGGGTGGTCAGATAGAATGTTCATTTACATGAAAACAAGTGGAATTACTACTAATAATTAACAGCCTTCATAGTAACACGAATGAACGGTGGGAACAGCCACAGAGAATCAGAAATCGCAGCGCACGAGAAATACCGGTTTGTATTTTGGGGCAAACGACGTGAATCAAAATCATGTTAATGTTTCAGGATTATTAACAATTAGGTGCGACACTCGGGTTTTGGGTGATTATTTTATTTTATGAAGAATGTTTCTTGGCATTTAATTTTCAGGAATACAAGATGCTCTTAAGACGTTGACAGTGTTATAATAAAAAATAATAATCCTTGCATTTGATATAGCGCCTTATCGCGTCGTTCAGATGTCTCAAAGAGCTTCACAGCATATGGTGTAAAGTGGAGTGACTGTGTTTTGGGGGCAAAACACAGCGGCCAATTTGTGCAGAGTAGTGCCCCACAAACAGACGTGTTTATGTTTTGGAATTTGTGTTAACTGAGTATTTATTTTTTTAGAGTGTCAGACCTGTGCTTTGTTTAAAAATACACTGGGATTATTTTTCAGGATTACTACAATAGTATTTTTTCACGTGACACACCCATATGTGGAAGGAAATATTAGAATGCAGATGGCAGTGTTCTACATTTCAGTTGAATGATGTTTTTCATGGTCGGAATTTTATGGTACAGTTGGTATTCTGATAACCAGCGTTTTATTTTTCAGGATTATTATCTGATATATCATATACTGTAGTTTTTTGATTTATTTTATCAACTGATATGGATCCCTTAAATTTTATTCATGCCACGTCTAGGAATGAAAAAAAAATCTACCCAACAATTACTGCCTTTTGTGTTTTTTTTAAAAATAGAAATCCTAGGTGGGGTTTTACACATATTCACACAGATATATATTATACATTATATATATTTATGAAGGCTGGTCAATATTTTAGATGTCAGATTCTTTATGAGTTCGGATTACTGGAGTTTGGGATTTGAGGGCATTGCTGTATTTTTTTTTCTGAATGTGGTTTGGGACTAAAATGCTGGGGTTTGGGGGTGATGAAAGGCGTTTGATTTGTAACACTTCAGACAGCGTTAAGATGGAGACCGGTCCCTAATCGGTCGGAACCATGACAACGAAGGCATTTGGCTACTCCCATAACCTATAGACATGTTACATCCTGATAGTGGGTGGATGGGGGGCTTTGGTGTCTTGATATATTTGACACCAGACCCAAAGGTGAAAATATATCTTAATTTAGCCACTGAGAAAAGATAGGGCCAAGGAGAGAGTGGACGATTCTAAATCTTCTCCTAAATTCCAAGCCTCTGGTCAAATGGCTACAGATTAAACTACAGGTCATTCCCAATTATAGTACCATCCACTTTGTGACGACGTGTCGTGTCGTGTCGTGCGGTGTCGGGTTGGATTGGGTTGGGTTGGGTTGCAAAGGGAAAATGAAAGGACCATTAATGCCGAAATGATTTGCAGCTCGGATGGTTGGGATGGTGGGAGAGAGAGAGAGAGAGAGAGAGTTTGACTGAAGTATTGGCCATGCGAATGGGATGTCCATCCATCCATTCCCTCCTAAAACCATGTGGTTCAAGACACGAAAAATCACCCCCAAATCCCTCGCCTTTGATTTCGTTTCTTTTTATTTTATTGCATTGTACTGCATTGCATTGCATGGTATTGCACTGTATTTTATTTTATGTTATGAGCTGAATATTGAATGTGATTGCATTTCCCACGGTGCATGAATTGAACCCACAGGGCGATTTGGGAGACGAAATTGCGACAATATCAAAGGCTCTGGGGTTGAGGATGATGGGGAGAGAGAGAGAGAGAGAGAGAGAGAAGAAAAAAAAAGGCTTAATGTTAAAGGGATCTCTTACCAGCCACTCTGACCACCGCTCTCTCTGCCGGATCCAACACCGAGTCTTGCCTTTGCCTCTTGGACCTCTGGTGCTTGGACAGATTCCAGGGCAAAGTGTCCCCAGGACATGGAGATAGGCTTCCCGACCTCTCGCTCACACTCTCTTCATCCGAGGAAGACATCAGGAGGGCAGAGAAGGGAGCCTTCTCTCTCTCTCTCTCCCCCTCTCTCCTTCTCTCTATCCCTCTCTCTCTCCTTCTCTCCTCCTTCTTTCTCTCCTTCTCACTCACAAAGATCTGAAGAGACTCCAAGGCACCATCACTGGGGGCTGTGTGAAGGGAGGTCGCAGTTTGACATGAAAGAGGGCTCCTCGCAATTGAAACACAAATGAATAGGGCAAAACAGACAGACAAGACAGCAGTCTGGTCCACCTGATGGCCAGAGCCACACAGGGCTCTAATAAAACCCTCCTCCCACCCCCACCCCTCTGGGTGGTTGGTGCCTGTGTTGTCTTACCCTCAGCTGATGCCCAGTGGTGCTGATGCTTTCTGTCAAGTGTTGGGGCTTATGCGATGCAATGTCACCGGAATTAATGGCTGTCTGGATCCAGAACCACACCGAATATATCCACTCAGTGCAATTCCCTCTCTCTCCCCCTCCCTCCCTCCCTCTCTCTCCCTCTTCCCTCTCTCTCTCTCTCTCTCTCTGTGTGTGTGTGAGAACAGCTCACTCCAGGCGTGGGCACACCAGCCACAGCCACACACAGCCACTCTGCAAAGACTTCCTTGTGCTTCAGCAATTTAATACTGTTGGAACACAACGAGTATAAGAGCAAACTGTTATTTTTCTATCTTTCTCTCTTCCTCCCTCTCTCTCTCTCTTTCTCTCCCCCTCCCTCTCTCTTCAGAATTGAATGGCTGGATTCTCCTTCCCCTCTTTAACAAGGAGCTCTCTCTCTCTCTCCTCTCCTCTCCTCTCTGCTCTCTCCTGTCTGTCTCACAGAGCAAGAAAAAAAATGTAAGGGAGAGATGACTGCGATGGGCAATGAAGGCATGGATTATCTTTGCACATCATGACCCTATATGGGGGCTACAAAGGCAGATTGGTGGCATTTAATGAATCCTTCTGCTCAGGGTTAACCCATTTGGCACTGTCTGTGTCTTATTTTTTGATTTCAGCAGTGATGAAATTAATTCCCCATGATCTTAATGTGCATTTATGGTGTCTTTCCTGTACGTTGTGGCGCTGCGATATGATCTCTGATCTCTGGCAGATTATTTCAGACCTAAAATCAACTCTTAAAATGGTCGTTTTCTTTTTAAATGAGCAAATGGATTATACCATTTTACACTCGCAATTATTATTCTTTCTGTCGAGTGTCCCTTTGTTGAGGGTTACCTTAGTCCATGACCTCATTCCATGAATTTTCTAATTACATTTTGAATTGCTGTCGCCCCATCACTGTGTACCCAATTTAACGAGCACAATAATCCTTACATTTGATACAGCGCCTTATCAGGTCGTCGAGACGTCTCAAAGCGCTTCACAGGATATACTGTAAAGTGAATCAATCGACTGTATATTTTGTGGGAGAAACGCGGCAGCCGATTGCGCACAGCAGCGTCCCTCAAACAGTCATGGATTGAGTGACCAAATATTAATCATTTATTTATTGAAGGGATTAATACCCCTGAAAAAGCGATCCGCCAATTGACTAACAACCGGGCTCCTACGTACTGCGGGTAAACAGAGGTGTGGAGTAAGGAAACTTACCCAACAATTCGCTCTGCCCAGGACTCAAACCCAGGGTCAGGCGAGTGCTCTAACCGCTGAGCTACAGGACTCCACACTGTGTATGGCTCCCACAATAAACATCGAACACTAATTACACGTCCTCTCCACAACACGTCATAGAATTGTAATATTCTACGATTCTAAGTGGGACTGACTGGGTCGCTCTTCCGAAGAGCTGGCACAGGCACCGTGGGCCGAATGGCCTCCTCCTGTGCTGGAATTTTCTACGATTCTATGAAGACGCCACTCCCTCGTCAGTCCCGATTCTTATAGACCATCCATGAGAAACCTTTTAAGAAGTCTCATTGGCTTTTTATTGAATACGATATTTAATTTCACTTAAATTCTAATTAATTATTAAAGAAAAACCGCCCATGTATCTTATGCTTTGGTGGATGCATCTTTCATGTGAAGCGACCCACAGATCCCGACGAGATGAAGAAAGAGGATGTTCATGTGAGGGGTGTGAATGCCAGCCAATTCATTGGCCATTTCAGTGAAAGGTCAGTGAGATACAGTCTGGGAATTTACTACGATAGGCATAGGAATGTCACGGTTGGAATAACCTAATATTCTGAAAATATGATTAATTATTTTAAGAAATAGCGGGAACCTACAAGGGTCTAAAATGACTATTATAACAATAATAAACCTTGCATTCGATATAGGGTCTTATCGCGTCTTCGAGACGTTCAAAACACATCACAGAATATACTGTAAAGTGC